CTGGGAAGGATCCTTTTTAGTCGAAACATTTTTTGTTTACCCGTTTGATTTTGCGAAATATCAAACGCCAGAATAGTACTAATAGTTCAAAAGTTATAAAGAATTATGTGCACTTTGTGGGTAAGTGTTTGTTTTCAATTTCCTTATCGGCCCACCTATACATACAAGTATATACTTAAATTATTTAATTGAAAATATGTCTAGGCAAAAGTAAGTTATGTATTTGCTTTTTTTTACGATTTGTAGATATATAGTAGAAATTGTTTACAGAACAGAAAGACTATCTATCCACCTGTGTGTCTCTATTAGACACCCATTTGAGATTTAATTCATTCTATTTATTCGATGAGAAGAAAAGCACAAAAAATATTCGTAGTACCTAACAATTTATAGTGCAAATTTCACTTAAAAGATATTTTGTTTATTTACAGCATTTTGAATATTGAAAATAAAAGTATTAACTATATAAGTAGTTTAATTTGTCTTTAGGGGCAAGCATCTACCTAAAACCTTATAAATTTTATCTCAATATGTCTAGAATTATGAAGTATTGCAGACTAAATCACAGTTAAATACAAATTCGTATTGGTCTTCTTACATAATCCTATCCAGCTCGCGTGTGCTTTTGATGAGATCTGCGGACAATAAAACATTTTTACAGCCCATACAATTAACATAAGTAAGTACATAGCTTTGCACTTAAACTTAAATGGTGTGGGCAATAAATGAATAAAAATCGGCTCTCTTTGTGGCATTTGTTGCTTTTGTTGTTGCATTTGGTGTCGAGCTGGCGACTTGGGCTTATGTCAGATGCAGGGATGCCTTGGCATTTAAGTAAATTAAATGCTCATCGGCCTGTCAAAAACCATGTAGGACAGTGTAATTTAATACGCAACTGAAAGGGACTTGTATAGTGACAGGCATATTAAAAGGATTTCGTTGCCAGCAACAACAGCAATAACGGCGACAAAGGTCACTGTTGACGGAGTGAATGATGTTAACGTGCACTGAGAGAAAAACCTACTAACAATACTTCATGAAGCTGATTAAACAAATCAAGACATTCCATTAAGAAGCCAAGTTTGACAATAAAGAGACGAAAAACGTGAAACAGCTTCGATTCTACAAGTCTTACTTCAATGAAAACAAATCTATTCATTTTTGGGAAAGGTATTAAATAAATTCATCATTTAAGAAATACCAACAACTTTGTTGAATATTTCATTTTACTACCGAAATGAATGCGAATGCGATCCTCATAAAACTAAAGTTATGCTAAGAAGAAACAAATTTAAGTCGTGAAACAAAAACTAGCTACGAAAGCATGACTACTGTAATATAAGTTTAGTGTCAAAGAAATTGACAGAGAAAATTCTTAGAAGAGAAGATTCTTAGATGAGAAGATTCTTAGAATAGATTAAGTTCCATTTTTTAAGGAAATCTTAAGGGCTTCATTTAAAATATTTTCTCATTACTCTACTTTTCTTCTTTGAGATTATGGAAATATGGAGTTATGGGAATATTTGACTTTTTCAATCATAATCACATTTAAAGTATTTACATTTAAAAATTGAGCAAAATAAATGGGTAAAATATGAAGGTTTTTTTTTAGAAAAACACTGCCTTTTTATTAATAATTTTGTTGGAATAAGGTGCTTGTGAAGATGACTTCAAATAAATTAATTATATTCCCCGACTAAGAGTTAATAGCTAATACAAAATATACACTTATCAATCAAATAGATTGATTTAATATTTTAATTAAAAACTTTAACTAAAGATTTAAAAAACTGCGCGTAATTAAGAGCCTTATTTGATAAATCGGAGTTTTGGAATTCACTACCGAATCTGTTTCAATTTATTGGATCAATGCAAGAAGTATTGAACACAATTGCCAATCATTAACTTTTGTGTATGAGTTGTATTAACAAGTTGTCACTTTATTTACGCTGCGTATATATTTGCAAACATTATTTATTGGGCTAGAGAGCCTGATTCTTTGGATCTGCTCCATATTTGTTTCTTGAAGTGTACAGCCTGCTCTCAAATGCCAAGATTGTTGTTGCCTCTGCTGGCCTGCCATTAAAACAATGTTGCTGAGGCAAACACACTTGGCTTAATTTGACTTTAATGAAAACGAAACGAATGCGAAGCTTTCCCGGTCGTGGGGTACTAGCTAGTGAGCCAAAGAAACAAATATAAAGTCAGCGCATGGACAAAATATCCTCAGCTGCTTATCATTACGACTAAGGCGAAAGAACTGTACTCGGACTAGGCCCAAACAGCGATGTGTGTTTGTTAGTTGGTTTGTTTGTTTGTTGGGGAATGAGCGACGTGAGCGCTGGCAACACGCAAGTCAACTGACCGACAGACAGGCCCAGAGCCAAAGCTAGTCCAAGTCAGAGCCAGAGTCCGAGTCAAGAGTCCGAGTCAGAGTCAGAGTCGGCCAGTCAGGCAGTCAGCCAATGCCAATGGCCAATGGCTAATGTGGCGCGTTAGTTGGCGTATGCGCTCGTTCGTTAGAATGCAGGCAGGCAGGCTAGCAGGCTGGCAGACTGGCAGGCTGGAAGGCAGGAAGGCAGGAGGCAAAGACATGGCCAAAGCTAGAGCTAGAGCCATCACCATCACCATCAGCTGCACAGCATCATCAGCAAGAGGAACGGCAAAGAGCAACGTCTTCGTCTTGCTATTGTTTTTGTTTCTGTTTCTCTTGTTGTTGTTGGCTTGGTCAAACAGCATGCCATACGTCAGAGGCGGCGATCGGGCCACAACGAATGGACGACGAGGCAACCAAGGCGGCCATATGCGGAAACGCAATTTTGTCGTTATTTATGGACGTTGCCGGGCCACGTACATGCGGCTTGCTGCATGCCGCATGAGGCAGGTAACCAGGCAAGCAGGCAGGCAGGCAGGCAGGCATGCAAGCTTTGGCTCTGACTCTGTCGCTGGCTCTATAACAGGATGCCAATGACTGAAGAAACAGAATTTCACAGACGAAGATGCTGCGACCGCCATGCTGCAGATGGCTCCATGCAGATGACTTAGTTGTGCAGCACCTTGCTGGAGGTGCTACGCTTGTATCTCACTTTGGCGTAACGGTTTTCTATTAGATTAATTTATATTCAAATTTTTATTACTTGCGCATACCAAACTAACTGAGCCCCTGTGGGAGAGACGTGGAAGCTGCGGAAAGTGCTGCGGAAAGTGCTGCTCTTGCTGCTGCTCCAAAATGAATTGCGGCGGCATTCGTTTGCGCCTGCGCAGTCAGCCAGATAGATACATGGCCCAACAACAGCAAAAGCAACAGCAACAACAACAACAACATGGTGCTTTTGGTGTTATTAAATCGCCTACTTGAAGATTCGATGCACGCCAAATGCCTGGCCTGGAGTTGCCCAAGTTGCCTGGCCCGGCGCAGGCGCAATGCTAACATATACACACACACACACTTTTATATACATACATACATACTTGCATATACTCGCATGTACATATAGGAGAACAGTTACAACGGAAGCTGTCATTCTGCTGGCATAGACGCTGGAGCGGACAAACGGCTGGCTTGGCTATTGGACTGAATCTTCGGGAATGCGCTGGCGTAGGCATTCGACTACATGTCCGTATTGCTTCTCTCCCCCTCTCTCTCTCTCCCTCTCTCTCTCTCTCTCCCTCTTTCTCTCTCACACACATGCACACTGTTTAGGCATGTGTGTTTGTATATCGCAATAATTAACAGTAAAATGGCAAACAGTTAATTGAAATGCATGAGAAATGCAAATGGCAAACTTTGATTTAAAGGACAAAATTGTGGCAATTAAGACGTCGCGACGCCGCTGTTGTTGCTGTTGCTATTGCTGTTGCAGTTGTTGTAACAGTTCTTGTTGTTGCTATTACCGTTGTCGTTGCCGCTTCAACACACTTGACACTGACAGTCCGACAATTAGTTTGGATTTATGATAAGAATACAAGCCAAAGATGTGTAACAAGAACCCACACTTAAAAGATACATATTTAAGATAGTTCTTGCACGATATACTTTATGTACATACATACATACATACATACATACATATGTACAAGTATATAAGTTTCTGCGGACAATTTTAAATATGGTCTGTATATCATCCTTATTCAAAGCGATGCGAATAAGCTCCAACCCACACCTTGAGATGCTAAAACGACCGGATCTGATTGATCTGCCAAATAGCAATCTGATTGGAATTGCACCACTAAAACCTTTCCTAACATTTAGGTCAAGCTTAAAGATAAGCTTCTTAGCTAAATAAGTCAAATTTGCAAAAACGAAGCAAATAAGATTTGATTAATTTCTAAACTAAAATCTAAGCACAAAAATTCGACTAAAAGTTAAGAAAAGAATTTCCATTAGGAAATATGTACTACAGAGAGTGGAAAAAATTTTGAAAACTTATTTGCAGTATGTGGGGAAACTTGCATATTGCTTCCTAATATATTAAGTGAAAAAAAAAACCAAACAAGAGAACAACAAATTACTAAATTTTGAAATGTTTTTTATTTCCTTCGATCGACATTTAATTTTGAAAGCACTTTGCAAAAGCATTGTACTAACCTTGAGTTTTACAAATTTAGATATTTGAAATTACATTAATTGTCTAACAAGACAAATTTGTAAGACAAATATTGGAAACTGCTATAGTACGAGCAGACTATCCTAGATAGCCTGGTATAACAGCGTATTTACCAATGCGGATAATAATTCTTATTGGGCTTATCGAGTACTAAAATTCTGAATTTAGCATCAATGATAAAAGTGGTAGCGAAACTTGGTCGATATGCGATACACAAATCGTAAAATGCATGATTCTATTAACTGATATTTTTATAAAAACTCTATTCAAAGTTAATAAAGTTGATAAAGTTTAATAAAAGTATTTAATATAACACTAACGAGTGCTTCAGGTGCTTCTTTTCAATTTAAAGATAAAAACAAGAAAGATGTACAAGTATTCTCCATCACTCACCCCTGTAAATGATCTTCGACTCCTGGCGGTAATGCTCCGTCGGCCACTATGTAGACCGGTTGACCTGAGGCGTTCGTTCCTGTGGCATATGGGAGACCTGCCTGCACCACAACCTGACCATCCGACACCAAGCTGCCAATATCACCACCCGAATAGATTTCCAGACCCTTCTGATCTGTTGTCGAATAAATGACAGTCTTGCTGCCATCATTGTAGATCAGGTCTATGTGTTTGTCCGTCTGATACAGATCCGGATCAAGCTTCTGTGGCACCGACAAGTGCGGCAATTGTTTTACATTGACACCGTTCGGATCCGAGGTGGTGTAAATAATGGAGCCCGCCTCATGCTTTTTGTGACTCTCATAGATGTCCGCCTCAGTCTTGATCACATTGTCATTGCTATAGTGTAGAACGGACGCATCCAGTGGCGACGTCTGGTAGACCGCCTGATGATCGTTGTTCAGCTTCTGGGCTTGATTGTACATGGCGGTGGCTACCGCATTATCATTCGGCATCAGCTTCGAGGGATCACTGACGATGCGGGTGAGTATGTGCTCGCCGGCCTCATTCCGGGACAATATGTGGTGTTCGCCATTGATGATCTCGCGCGAGATGATTTGCTGCTGTTCGCCGTTGGGACCCACAACTCTGATAATCTGATTCTCATCGAATTCGATCTTGGCCAGCGGCTGATTATCGGGCGCTGGCTGTGGCGGCGGCAGCGCTGCATGCTGTGTGCCCAGCTGGGCAGCGATGCGCGCATCAATGACATGATCGTCGGGACCACCATTGGGGCCCCCGCCGCCGCCGCCATCCATGCTGGACATGACCACCTTGGGTGTTTCGTAAATAAAAACTGCATCCTTTTCATACAACTTGGATGAGTCTGTGTGCAGATCTAGGACGTTCACATTAGTCATGGTGGCCAGCTCCGGTTGGGGACTGTCCGGTGAGCGATGCATGGTGAGCAAAGGTACACCGTTGGGCGCCAGGGGTGATGATGTGGTGTTCGTGTTGCTCACAATATTGGCGCCTTGCTGGATCGGTGACAACGGGGCGTGCAGTGCGTTGCTGTGCGAGGTGTGTGTGGCGTGTGTGTGAGCGGAGAGCGAGAGTTCGTTGGACGTAATGACGCTCGTTGTGGCGGCTGATGTGGACATTGTCTGCTAGCGCCTTTAATTGTGGTTGTATTTGTCTGTGTGTGTGTGTGGGTGTGGGTGTAACTAATTACGCGCTTAATTAACTAATTTGAACTTGATTCTAGATTGCACTTGATGTCTATTTTGAATGAATGGCGGCGACAGCGAGCAAAAATCATCAATATGTATGGCGTGGTGTTGCTCGGCTTGTTGTAGTTGTAGTTGCTGGTAATCGTTGTAGTTGTTTTGTTGATTGTTTTTAATGATTGTGGGTGTGGTTGTTGTAGTTGTTGTTGTTGTTGTTGGTGGTTGTTGTGATGTTTGTGGCAAGCTTGGTGTTACGAGTATAAACATAATAATATCACTTGTTGGTTTATTTTGAAGGCACTTGTTGCTGTCGTACTCCTTGTTGTTGTTGTTGTTGTTGCAGTGGTAGTAGTAGTAGTAGATGTTGTTGTATTGAATTCGTTGTTTAATATTGCATTTTATGGCACTAAGGAACTACTTTGACACCTCTACCAACGTTCAACAACAGCAAATTAGTTCCGTATCTGTAAAGAAATCAAAATGAAAATTAATTATTGCCATTCAAAAGACGGGCCCTTAATTAGCAGCACAATTCATTCAATAATAGCAACTTTTTTTTAAAAAATAACAAGCTTTATTTTCACACTATTAAGCGAACATTGTCCTGGAAATTAGGAAAACAGAAAATATTTCTTGTGCTTATTTCTTTCGTTTGTTTTTTTTAACGAATCACGTTATATGCTTTTTTCGATTTATCAATCAATCTTATTTGTGTATCTTGGCAGCTTTGCATTGTTTTAGAGTGTAGTACAAGAACAACAAACAATCAACAATCAACAAACAACACAACTAAGCCAGTCAGCTTGGCGCGCCATTTTACGCTCAGCTGAGCTAAGCTGCGTGTGTGTGGTGTGTGTGTGCCCCCAAAAAAAACAACAACACAAACGGGATTGGGTTCAAACGGGTTCGGGTTCACAACATCAACTTGTCCCTTACCCCAACCCCAAGATGATGAGCTGTGAAAATTTGCAAGTGAGCCCACAACAACAATAACAACAACAACAACAGAAACAAACACAGAGCGAACAATCCAACAAACGGACAGATAGAGGAGGGGCGGCCAAACAAACGAACGAACGAATGAGTGAGGCAGCAGCAGAGCAGCAACAGAGCAGCGGCAGAAGCAGAAGCAGCAGAGCAGCAAGTTGGGCTCACACGTGCCCGTCGAACTAGTTTGACTCCTTCGCAAATGTCAAACGTGTAACTGCATAACTCATCACACACATCAACAACAACAGGTAGAAAGAAGAAGAAAAAGCATCTGAGTAGTTGCCGCCTTATTTGTGTGTGCTCTGTTGTTGTTATTGTTGTTTGTTTACCATGCGCGAGGTTTTGTGTGAAATCAAATAAACAGCAACAAAAACCAACAATCAACAGCAGCAGCATACAAACAATGCACAAAAAATCGCATTACACCGGTTCAAAAGATGAACTACGAGGGCTGGCTGATAGGTAATCGGCCCTAATAAGAAAACAAGTGTGTACCTTTTTTTCTTCTAATTAGCATTATCCATCAGCTGATTGCTGTCAAAATATAACTGATCAATGAGTGTAATTTGGTGAGATTTTAAAGAGATTTGGGCGATATTTATGAATCACCCATAATATATGTATACCGTAGATGAAAACTTTTGAATATTGAATAATGAACCAAGCGAACAATTGGAATAAGAGAAAATCATGGCACACTCGAGGGAGTGTTGGGGAAACTTGGATCCATCCATGGAACAGTCGAAAGATACAAACAAAGGTCATTCAACTTAATCCCCTGATTTGGCCCCCTCTCTTAGCATATAAAATCTGCTCCGTATATTGAAAACCAAATAATAAGATGATTTCTGAAACGAGTGCTTATTAGAAGACTTTGGCAAAATTCTCATTTGAAGACAATAAAAAACTGGAGAATAGTGTTTGGTGCTTCTGTGAAAGATTTTGTTGAGAAACAAACTAATACTTATACCGATTATTTATAAGCCAGCCTCCGTACAACAAGCTAATTAGTCCGTAACCCAGCTACCGGTAACACAGGCGCTGACACTCATTGAGAAGTTTGATTCGCGCTTTGATTTAGTTTTGGGAGCAAAGAAGTATAAAACATGTTTATGAGGGACTTAGAGACGAAAGACCAAACAAACAAAACATCAACAGCAGTGGTCGCAACAGCAACAAGTTGTTGTTGTTGCTTTAGAACAGGTACCGGTAGCCAGCGTAACAACAACAACAACAACCATAACAAGTGACTCGCAACAGGCTAAACACCACCAGCGCCAATCCTTGACCTAATCCAGAAGTTGGCTAAAGCTGAACCTGACGCCGACTTTCTGGTTCGTCGTCTCGGTCAGCCATCCAGTCAGTCAGCCATCCAGTCGTCCAGCCAGCCATCGAGCCGGTCGGTATTGTTGTGTGTATTTTTATTTGATAAAACGCCACACACACCAAAAATTGCTGCTCTGCCCGCCGCAAAGTTCATTTTTCGTCGTGAGTCTGGGGATGTGGATAAACTTGTTTTGTCAGTCAGTTAGCCAGCTAGCCAGCTTTAGCCCGAGCCCGAGCTCGAGACCGAGCCCGCCAAGCAGCCAGTATACTACATATAATGTTTGTTCCTCGTTGCTGGTTTTGCTGGGTTCCGTTAGTAGGTGAGGTCAGTGTCATGTGGTACGACGCGTATAGACTAGTTTTGGCACACAATACACAATATTGTACTACAACCAATGACGCTGCTGCCTCTGCTGCTGCTGCCTACAACAACAACAACAACGAAAACAACAACGTGCACGCTAAACCAACGAACCGGTCAATATTGCCGCTGATGGTGATAATGATGTTGATGTTGCCGATGATTCTCTGTTATTGTCTGACGCTTCGCGCGTGGCCGTAAGCGCCAAAACCCGCCAATGCCGGGAATGGAGGCATGCAAAGATTTTAAATGCGATTAGACGATTAAAGATAGCTCGTACGAAATTGCGTAGAAAGTAGAAAGGCAATTAGGAAACAATTAAAAGCAAATAAACGACCAGAAATGTGCTGAGCTGTTTCAAGCTATCTACCTACGAGTATGTACGCGTATATAAAAGAGTATCTAGTCATCACATTAGGAAACGGGGTCAGTTTTTGCCAAAATCATGAATTGAAAAGCTTGCGGAGTGGGGCGGATGAGTGTCAGAGAAGCCGCTGGCACATCGAGTCCAAGGTGCGACAATGCCTCCACTCACCGCAATCCATGAATACGTACCTCCAGGCGTATGTTTTTCTAACTAACTCGCTGCGTAAATGGGGGTAAGGGAATGGGGTATGGATGAATGATTAGGCAGCTTTCTGAAGTTCGCATTTAAATGACGAATCTTTCTATTTTAAAACCTTGCCAATTGAATGATAGACCAGAATAATATTTCAAAAGAGTTGAGTCCCATATAATCACATTTCAATTCGATATATATTCTACGCAGTTTTAATGCAAAAAGGAGCACATTATTTATTCTCAGGGTCAGGAATAGAATTAAATACTAATTTTTACGAGTATATAAAACATTTTTTGGAGCTCTGTAAGCTTTTAATAGTTAAACTTAAAAGGAACTTTTGTTCTAAAATAGATCGGGCTGTTTTCGGGAGGTTGAATTGACATAATTTCTTTAATTATTTGAGGCTGCTTTTTGCGAATAGTGCGCTCCATGCCTGAAAACGATGATGACTTATCCGCTAAAACTAATCATTTCATATACATATATGCCATGAAGAAGATCGTTTTTGGAATATCAGACGTAATTGATCCTACAAAATATTCTTTAATTTGCAAACATTGCCTGGGTGTAAGGAATTGTGACAAACGAAAAGTGTGCGATCTGACTTATTATTAATATCTATTTAAAATCATACTTATATGACTGTTGCAGCTTAAATATCTTTTTACATATTGTAAAAGTTCAAGTTCCAAAATATACTTAATATTAACTATGGAAAAATAAATAAAATATATTGAATTCAGGGTGTTTCAGAGAGTCGTGTCCATTTGAATTTATAATTAGTTTACTATATGAGCTGTTTAAATTCATAAATAATGGCTCCTACAGAGCAAAGTAATCCGAATAACATAGAATATTAAAGTCTCAGTAAATGAAGTCTCTTAAATGAAACTGAATCTAAAATAAATTGAATGTAGACATACATTTGTGCATAATGTATACATTTTTCTATTAGGTTTGTTACAAAACCTTTATCTACATACAAACATACTATGAGTACATACATACAGCCCCTTTTAAGCCGAGTTGTAATAAAAACTATTCAAATGTTGAGACAACGCCTACATCTCTCACACTGGACGCGGATCACATTTCCCTCCAAACTCCATTTCGAATCTCGTTAGATATTTGACATAATTTAGCAGGGAGGCGGAACAAATACATGACTGCATGCATACAAACATACATATGTATATACATAGATACGATATTTATATGCACCCTATGCACAATCTTACCAAAGATTGGGAAAGAGCAACCTAACCCACCGATACAAGCCGGGGCATCAAAACTTGGCTCAAGCGCTGAGGTAGAAAAGGCAAAGACGGGGAAGAAAAGAAAAAACAATAAACGTTAACACGAACACGAAAATAAAATAACTCTCTCACGAAATTCCCCCTATAGCGTGTCTTTTGTGTGGGTTAAATGTTCATACATACATACAAATATACTATATAAATATGTATGTATGTATGTGTATCTTTGTCTTGTATGTGCGTCCGTATGGATGTATTTGTGTGTGTGTGTGTGTGTGCTTGTGCTGCGTGTTCAAGCTGCGTAGTGGCTATAACGTAAGACGACGACGACGGAGACGACAATGACGGCGATGTTCATTTTACTGTACCATAATCGCAGCTCCAAATTGATCACCATCATCAACGTGCGGCCACTAACAAAAATAAAAATAAAAGAACA